CACTATCAATAATCCTTTCCACTTACCATATACTCATCATATAACACATATAATTCATGTATGTGCATTCATATCATTGAATCACTATATATCAATATGCATGAATCTATGGCATGATAACAATATACAATCAGGTCATGCACACATGCAACTTACCTTCTTTTATCACTTTCACTTTCATTTGTCTTTCAATTTCATTGCCCATGTATATTATTGAGAATAGAGGTATGTGAGTACATTGAGGTTGTGCACTAATGCTGTCACCACAACTCGTATAAATGTCCCGAAGGACCTATCCAGAGGTCACACAGACCCCGGTAACTATCCAGAGGTCATAAAGAACCTCGGCAACTGTCCATAGGTCCCAAAGAAGCTAGGTAAACTGTCCATATATTCCTTAGAACATAGGTATACTGTCCATATGTCTCGAAAGACATAGGTAAAACCCTCGACTCTTGGCATGCCAACTATACCTATAGCTCTCGTATCATATACTATGGGCATTTATTTATACATTTCGTATCACTTGTTCTTTCTCTTCTGTCACATATCACATGTATGTGTAACCATATATCTCATATCATATCATATGTATTATATATATACATGTATTCATGTAAATCATTTCATGTAATTCATATCACGTATATCACATGTGCATATAAGCTTATAGCTTCTTTCACATATACATGTAGTCACATAGCTTTCTTTCATGTAACCATGCATGTCATGTCAAATAACATATCATATGTTGCATTTCACTTAAGCATATAAATCATATAACATAGCATCCATCTATTTCTATGTATTAATGCATACATGGTAATCACATAACAATTTAGAAGTTACTTCTTACCATAGTAACTCCATCACTGGCTCATCACAAGCCAATGTTAATTCAATAAAATAAGTACAAAATAAATTGCACTCACCTTAGCTTTGCTTTGATTCGATTCTAATTCCTCAATTGTCCTGAAACGGATCACTTTCTATCTCTACATAACAATACACAGATTCATATCAATATTCCAATTGATATATTCTAAATTGTCACTTCTTAGGCTAAGAGAAAAGCCCATTTCCTCTTTCAATGAAGGTATGCATCGATGCACTACTTGTGCATCGGTGCATAAAATGCATTCGATGTTTTTATTTTAAAAGGATGCATCGATGCATTAGCTATGCATCGATGCATCAAAGGCATTCGATGTTCTTTCTTTTAAAGGAATGCATCGATGCACTTATGAATGTGCATCGATGCACATTGTCCAGAAATTGCATTTCAAGCACGAAATTCATCAATTCTTCATTCAATTCTTCTATTTTAATCCCCTATTATGACTTTAAACTCAACTATCATTATTGAAACCAACTTATGTCCATATAAATCATATTTATCTTCCATATTTCATCAAGATTCTTAAAATTAAGAATCTTACTAAACTTTCAAATTTGTTATAATCTTTTCTAACTTCATAATCTCTTATTCTTCTTGATGACAAGTCAAATTCCATCTTAAAAATCTCTTATTAACTCTTTTCCAAAATTTCCTTTAAAACCCCATTTTCTTTAATCTTTCATAACTTCTTTATCTTTCAATCTTAAGATAACCTAAGCTTTCCTTAAGCTTAGTTATTATCTAATGATCAAAACCCAACCATAAATTTAGCAAATAACCAACTAACAAAGAAACTCACCTTTGCAAGCTGGCTCTTCACGTTTGAGAGAAGATGAAGATGAAGAAGATAAGTCTAAAACTTATCTCTTCAATCATACCTCTCATATATTATAATACCCATTTATTAATATTTAATATTATCTTTGTTCAATGACCATTTTGCCCTTCATCTACTTTAATAATTACTAACAACTTTTAGAAATTATTTCCAAATAAATCATCGAATTATTCCATTCTTCTACTTAATTCATCAAATTCTTAAACTTTACAATTTAGCCACTAACCCCTAGTTTGGGATGTTACAACCAACATCAAAACCGGTGTCGGTTCAAGCTAAACAACATCAAAAGAATAAATGATTTTGATCTATAAAAAACAACACAAAACTCTAAAGAAAAAAACAAGGAGTGGAAGAGAGAGCAACTATAAGAAAAGAAATGTCTTAAAGTTTGTAAACAATGACATTATACAATCTATCATACATGTCTTTTGAGAAAATGATAATGACATGTGGCAAGTGGTATTAAAGTGACTCTTTAATTGTATGATCTCATGCTGGATGCGAAGTAGACAAATATTAGCTCGTAAGGAGGGTGTCACGAGATTAACTGGGGAGAATATCATGCCTCAAAGAAATGGGGTATTATTCCTATATCAAAAAGAAAAAAATGATTATCCAAAATTTATGGATGTTCAAAATCGGGTACTTATATTTTTTGGTACCAAAAAATTGGTTTGTGTCTCGGCCCATTACATCCAGGTACCCATAAAACTCGAGTACCAATATTTTCGGGTAACGAGTACCCGATTCATAATTTTTTTTATTTTTTCCTTTAAATTATATTATTTTTAAAAAATTATATAAAAATCCTAAAATATAAAATTTTAAAGTCTATAATATATAATCTACACATAAAATTTAAAAATTTAAATTACATAGTTGAAAGATAAAATTTAGAATGTTAATTAAAATAAATAAATTAAATTAAATTTCAAATGTTTTGAAGTTAAATAAATATTTTGAAAAATAATTTAGAACGCTAATGTGAATTAATTTAAGAAATTAAGAGTTTATACTGACAAAATTTAAGAAATTAGGATTTTATAAGGTTATAGTGAAGTAGTTTGAGAATTATGAATACAAATTTAATATAAAATAATAATAAAAAATATAAGAAACCAGGTAATACGTCGGCGAGTACCTTTTAAGCAATATTTTTGTGATCCGAGTCCGAATCGAAAAGTCGAGAAAAAACATGTCAGGTACTCAACCTGAAGAATCGAGTATTTTCATTATAAATATCTGGTATTTTTCAACCAGGTCGACGGGTCGAGTATTTTAGAACACCGATACATCATATCATACATATCTTTTGGAAGGAATATATTGACCATATCAGTTGTAACATGTTCACTTATTAAATAATATAAACTTATAATATTAATAAACTAAATAAAATTTAAATCTAAGAGCTATTTTGTTTATCTGTCTAACTTTTAGAGGTGAACAAAACTTGATTTGACTCGAAAAATCAATTTCTTTTTTAATTTTGATTTATTCAAGTCGAGTTATTATGGTTATTTGAGTCAACTCAAATTATCAATTCGATTTTCAAGTTCGAGCTAAGTTAAATTTTTAAAATTTTGAGTTACTCGAAAAATAAAAAATTGACTATATATTTTGACAGTTTTACGATTGAGTATATGCTTTTATTATTCCTTCAATTCCTCTTTTATTTTAAGTCTATTTTTAATCAAATTTGAAACACATGCCTCTAAACCATATTATAATACATATGTACTTTTAATTCCTTTTTTCGAGAACAAGTTTTATATTTTTCAATTTAGTCCCTCATTTTTTTATAATTTTCTTATTCATCAAATTTATCATTTATTTCAAATACATTTTTTATCAAATTTGAACCACGTGCTCATATACCACTATACAATACCTATGTAACTTCAATTCTTTATTTTTGTACTAAAAATTACTCTTTTTTATTTAGACCCTTAACATTGCATTTTACTCAATTTGGTCTTTTAACTGCAATTGTTTACAAATTCTTTATTTCCATTAATTCCTTGACTATTTTATACTCTCATCAATATTTTACCCTCAAAATAAATAAAAATACAATATTATGAATATATATATATATATATATATATATATATATAGAACTAGTCATGACCATAATACTATAAATAATTATAATAAAATTAACATAGAAATTTGAATAACTTGACTCGAATAACTCGAATCAAATCTCATAAACTAGACTCAACTCAAAAAAATTCAAGTTAAGTTCGAGTTGTAAAATATGACTCGTCAACTCGAATAACTCAAAATTTTTTTACTCAACTCAACTCGATCGAATGCTCACCCCCACTAACTTTCATAAAAGATAAATTTAATTTAAACACTTATTTTTTTAACAATGACAACTAGATATATTAATAAAAAATGAAAGAAATCAAAAATTTCAGCGCACCCAACTATAGATAGAAAAATAAGAAATCTGTCACAAAAAATCTCATAAAAAGTAAAAAAAAAAATATTAAGCCCAAATATACGAAGAGAAATGAATCTTATATAAAAAGAAACCAATAACCTTCATAAAATTCTATTGTTTATGTGGAACGAGACGCTTTACGAAGTTATAAAGAAGTGGTGAGAGAATCAAACTATCTGGCAAACTATTTCACTACACAAATTTAATTATATTGACAAACAATATTTTACTAAAGAGGGGAGTTACTATAAGTGATCACCAACAAGCCAATAAAAAGTAAATGTCTTGAGAGTCTTTGTACAAACATCAAAATGACCGCAAATATATACAAAAAAGGTACCAAAAACCATAATAAATGTATCAAAGAAAATACATACTACAATAACATATAAAATCGTATCACGAGGACTATTATTTAAAATTAAAAAAGATTTAAAAATAAAAGACAATATGAAAAATAAAAGAACTAATAATGAGTGAGCCTCTATAACCAATATTAAAAATAATGTTATTGTCGGCTAAAAAATAAAAAAGAAATACAATACAATACAATAAAAACTATATTATATTCCAATCTGATGTGACACGACTAAGTGTATGAACCTTATAACATATCACATATTAATGCATGTATTTCTTTGCCCGGATATGAAATATCACCCAGAGATTAGTTATAAATTGGCTATTTTTAAAAAAAAAGTAATTTCCAGAATTAAAAAAATGAAATATGATAAATACTTCCACGTGTTGACCGATAAAGCGGGTAGCAATCAAATCTACCACAAAAGCAAGCAAATTTGAAAAACAAAGCCCGCCAATACGTTAGCAACTACAAATATCATTCAGAAGAAACTCAGTCAAAACAGAAAACGCTGATCGCGAACGAAAATGCAGAGGAGAAGATCTCGAAGATCGCCATTGCCAATGGCATCTCCTGCTCCAGAGGAAACCCAGACTCCTCCCAAATCAACCATTTTCAACAAAAGGAAGAGGAATATAGCTAACGCCTCCCATTCCAATTCAGCTTCCGCTTTCTTCAATCATCAGTCCTCACCGCCTGACAAAAAAACCCTAACCACCATTTCCGATCTTAAGGAATTTACATCTTCTCGGTTGGAGGATATGAAGCGGAACCTCATTGATCGCTCTCACTCTGAGATTCTCAAGGATCTCGACGCCTCTCACTCTCGCTTCCACAAGCGCTTCAAGGTTTATCTCTTTCACTCCGTTTCCAGCTTGTTCCGTTTGATTATTTACATGAAATAAGGAACTGAATTTGAAAAGCGGTTAGAACTTAGTAGTACACTTTTATTGTTTTCTAATTTGACAGATCCAGACACAAGCATGCCAACAAGTAATGGAGGAAGCTGAAAAAGAATACAAGAAGATATCGGAAAAGATTGACAGCAGCCATGAAGCAATGAAAGTAAATATTTCGATTCTTGATTATTTTCTTTCCAGTTCCTATGTTTTTATGTAATTTCATTTTCATTTTGTTTAATTTCAGGCCTCATATGCAGAATTCATGGCAGATGCTCAAGCCACTGCATCTCGTGGTATTGTCGAGCTACTTCTTTTCATTGCTAGTGTTATCAACACTGTCTTTCATTATTATTGCCATGTTTTACATTCTTTTCGCTTAGTTGAGTTGGCTGATTAGTTGAAATTTAATGACCCTAACGAAGAGTTATGAAAGATAATTTGGAAACTAATTTTGTCTAGGTTGTTCATAAACCTTTGGATCAGTCATCTGGTTTTACTTATCAAAACCATTTCCAATCATCTTTTAACCTTTGAATTGTGAAATTTCATCATCTTATTATCCGTTCTACTGATATCAGTTTGCAAAACTTCCATTTCTGAGCTTTCAAAGTCATTTGAGAAAGGAATTAATGATCTCCGCAACCGATTTGGAATGCCATCCGCTTAGAATTGATTCTGAAACCGGAAGACACGTCCTCTGGATCTTCTTTTCTGGTACTTTCATCGTTACTATTCTGAAACATGTAGGCTTTGTTAGCTCAAACAGGAGGACAAAATGGATTCGTCAGTTGTTCAAATTGTTCATATCAAGTACCACTTGAGGAGTTTTTATGGATTCTACAAACAATTCTAGGTGGACAACTTTAACTCTTGATTAGCAATCATTATCATCTTAAACAGTCAGACATACCTGAATGAAATATTCCGTTTATGTCTACGTATCTTTCATTAAGATGTTTCAAGTTTATGTCAAGTTGTTGATCTTCTTTCATCGTATTTTCTTAAATTACGAGTTCTAAATTTATTAGAAGCGTTTTGCTGTATACCTTTCTTCGCCTAGAGTTTTCGTTTCTCCTTTTTCAGGGAGAATTAAGATTAGATTTAAAATTTTCTTTTTCAAGTAGAATTAAGATTAAATTTAAATTTTTTTAAAAGAAAAGTCAAATTTATTTATTTGAAGTTAAATAATTATAAATTTTATACATTAATATAAGATATTACATTTATAAATTTAATTTTTATATAATTATTTATTTGAAATTAAATAATTTTAGTTTCATATTTTTATAATATTAATAGTAGTATGAATTAAATTAAATTAGTTAAACATTGCAATTTGAATTTTTAAAATGGTAAACTACGCCAATGGTCACTAATGTTTGGGTAAGTGTTTATTTTCACCACTGATGTTTGAAAAGTCACAAATCGATCACTAACATTATCGTTTGCTACAAAATGGCCACTCGACGTTAACAACCGTTGATAGGTGTGACGAAAAATACAGTTGGACTGCCACAGTGGAGAGTGAAATGACTTAAATTGTCACCTCTTCCCCTTTAAATAAAACCCAATCCCTAACACTAACTTATTAATTTTCATTCATCTCCTCTTTTGTTAAAAACTTCTCATAAAATTCCTAAGAGAAAACCTAGCTAAGGTGAAGATGGAAGAGTCCATGGAAGCTCTGCTTTATAACTGTGGAGAACCAGTTAAGGTGGTCACGGCTTGGACCAATGAAAATTGTGGAAGGAGGCTCTTTGGTTGCCGAAATTATGGGAAAAAGTGACTAAAAAATGTTGTTTTTTGTCTAGATGGATCATTCCATGGTGCCTAAGACAAATATGTGTGCTTCTGACTACTGAAGAAACTGAGAAAAGTGAAAAGGGAAGAAAAAATGATTTTTTTTTACTTTTTTTTTTGATTTTATGTATATACAAGTTTTGGATTAGCATATGAAGAATCTTTGCTTTTCTATCTCTGTGAGTGGAATTATGCTTTAGATGGATTGAAAGTTTGTTAAAGAATACTTTTATTTGAATGGTGGACTAAAGCTTTTGTAATGGCAGATTCTAAGGGTTTTCAAATGAATTATTAAGGTGGTATTTTGTAATGGCGGGTGTTATGATGTAATGGTAAATTGTGTAATGAAATTTCATATCAACTTAAATCAATTGTTGTAATAGTAGAATTTTACACAACTTCAAAACACAATAAAAAATAAAATATGATTATACATTAAAGCTACTCAAATTCAATTCAAAACATAAGATTTATATAACAAGTTGTCAAAATACAATAAGTTGCTCAACTTCATATTAGTAACTAATACAAGTTGTCAAACCTACTCAAATTCAATATTACATTATGCTTAAGCTTATTTCAAGTCAACAAAAGAATGACTATACATCAAAGCCATTATAATCAAAATAAGATATCCAATAAGTAGTAGGTATATGACAAAATAAGTTAAGTTCTTAAGTAAACAACACAAAAAGTTCCATAATCACTTTGACATAATTCACTCATTTGATATATTGTGAAATTCTTTAGTGGAAAGGTTAAAACAGAAAAATCTTGACTGGCAGGCATTGCATGGACTATTATAGGTGGTGGCATCATCTAACAGACTATTGTAGGTGGATTAAGTGGCCTCCTTATAGATAATTTTTGCTTTACTTGATGTTGCCTTGGAGTTAGTTGTTGGGATGTCTGGTTTACCGTATTTGGAGCTTGTTGCTGGTGGGATGGTTAGTTTATTCTATGTGGAGCTTGTTGCTGATGAGCTGCAAATCGTTGACTGGATCTAACTTCATGTTGGTTTAGTCTCCTGTTATGATCAACATCTCCTCTGCATGTCCTTTATTATTATCAAGTTTTCCACACTTAGAGCAGTTTGCGAGCAAACCTTTCTTACTTAGTTTAAGTCCATTATTATTTCCTTCATCAACTTCATTCCTTCTTTATTTAGTTGGCCTTCTAGGTGGTCTTGTCAATATTGGAGGCATAATGGTCTCTATGTTAGTGGTATGAGTCCATTGCTTAGTACCTATTATAAAGAAGAAGGTTTAAAAAATTAACAAAACACAAATGGGCAAAGAATAAAGCTCTTGAATATTTAAATTGGTTAGTAGTTCACCTTAGACATGACAAATGAATTTCGAATATATTACGAGCTGGGTGGATTTGTGGTAGCATTTATCAACATAAGGTTCAGGCTGATCATTGGGCAGTTGCATGACTGCTACTGCATGGATGCATGGGTTGCTTGTCAAGTCCAATTTCCTACAAGAACAGGAGCGTGAGCCCATGTCCACCACATGTTGATGTCCTAATCCAAATTCAACTTGATATTTCATCCGTAGAGCATGTGTAGCCAAGCACCTGCACATATGAAAAATATATAAATAGTTGCCTTGTCTCTTGTTCAATTATAATGTTCTCATTCTTTTGGATATTTGGACAAAAATAATATTAATCTTTTCAGTAGCTTCATATTTGAAAATAATTCTTATCATGATTTTAGTTATAATTAGCTCCATCATAGTAAGGATGGGCTTGTCCCTTGCTTCCAAAATGATCTTCATAATATATAATTTGTTAGTAGTATATGAAAAGTAATATATAAATAAAAACACTTTTATACTATGATCATTTTGGTAAAACATTCACAAAGGTTATTGAGTAGTGTGTCAGATTTAGCGGTGGTGGAAAAGTGTGCTTTGGACCACTGTTGAGGGTTAAGATCCTTCAGCCACTCAAATGCATCGTTAGACAAAACCTTCAATTCATTTTTTGCATCTTGAAATTCTCTACTATAAGTTGTTCTAGCAGCCTTCCGCAGTGTATACTTGGGAGTTTTTCTTTGTGATTCTTTTTGAAGTTTGCATAAATAGTCTTCCATAAGTCTAAGACATCTTAACAAGTCCCTACAAAATGAGAAGACAAATTAATAAATATTAAAGAATTTATTATAATTTCAAATTTAAGAACATAACTTTCTGTCTATCAGAAATAAAACACCATCCATATGAGTTTTCAAAGTCCAAGTCTCTTCTGAGAATTTCCAAAAACCATGCTCATGAATACTGATTCTCGCTCTCCACAATAACATACACTATAGGATAGATGCCAACACCATCGATACCAACTGCAACTAGTAATTAACCAAGATAATAACCCTTAAAGAAATACCATCAAGGCTGATAATCCTTCTACAACCTGCCTTGAACCCCTCTTTACAAGCTTAAAGACAAACATACATTTTTTAAAATAGTATATTTTCTAGTTTGCAAATAGTTGTACTTCCAGAATTTGTATTCTTCAAATCAAGTAAATATTCATATATATCTCCATACTGTTCTTTAAATTTACCTTGAATCAGTTTTAAGGCATGATCCCTAGCCCTACCACATTTAATTAAAGAGTAATAAGTTCAATAATCATCATTACATATTGTTTGAGGGAAGTCAAAATATTGCATATCAGACATGAATTTCTGAATATATCTAATCCTCAATGAACCTATAAGTGTCATTGTTATTTTTCAACAACTTAGCACAAGTGTGGTTAGACTCATAAGTCTTGATCTGCCAACTGTTCAGATCACAACCATTATAGGAGCATGGGAAGCCCATTATTTATATGAACAACCCTCCCTACAACATCTTGTAATCTTTTCTTATCATTAACCTTAAACAACATATCAGTTTTATTCACCCTCTCATATTACCTATCTGCCTTCCTTTAAAACCTCTTTACTAGAAAACAATAAACCCTTTTAAAATTTAGGGTTTTCCATATCAATATCTTTGTTGAACTTAGGAAAGGTAAGAGCATCTGGGTCAGATTCTCTGTCACTATTTAATTCGTCTAAATTAACAGAATCAGAGTCAAACTTTTCATCGTGCCTACCCATGTCCCCTAAAATATTTATAACATCATCTTCTACCATACTAGGTAAATTTTCTTCTTTATCAAAAGAAGTTTCACCATTCATTTCCAAAAAATTAGAATTGATTATTCAGAACCATTGTTTTCATCTTCTACCACGACTTCTTCACCACCAAACATTTGTTCCTCGCTGTCACTTTCAACACTACCCACTTCTGCACTGCCTCTTTCATCATTATCCATTTCTGTACCAACACTTTTAGCACCACAACTTTTAGAACTACCATTACTTTGCATAGATATGAATATATATGTTTTTAGGTAAACTATGTATTATTGTCATTGCATCATTGTCACTTGATAAAGACATAATTGATGACACAATTAATTTTGTATTTGGCATTACCCAGAATAATTCTACAAGACTAAGACAAATATGCTCCATCATATAATAAAAGTCAAGTAAATAAATTGTATCACAGTTGCAAAGGTAAAAAAAGTAATATTTTTACCAATGAACTTCAATCTAGGTGAATGAACAAACATTCCACCATAGTGACATACATAATTTTTGTGTCAAAATTATTCATTCTTCTCAAATAATAAATAAAGTATATTAAACATAGTAAGAGATAAGTAAGGGTATTTATACTTGTTTAATCTATGAGCCAAGAAGTGAGTTGAATAATATTTAACTTAAGGTGGGGATTTGTGGATGAAATGAATAAAATAAAGTAATAAAATAAGAGATTATAAATAAGATTAAAAAAGAAATAGATTCAATATGGTGTAAGTTAGACTTAGGATTTTACTTTGACTCAGTTTCTTCGGATCATCGAAAAAGGTTTTTTACTTTGGGATTCATGTCGGTTACTTGTCTACAAGGTCCAATTCTTGTGACTACGCTTTGTATACCAAATACCCAAGTGCAATCCTTGATATCGATTTTGGGAAATTAACCTAATCAACAACAATGTTGTAGAAAAAAATGTTTAAGTTCGTAAAA